GGGGCTGGGGCTGGGGCTGGGGCTGGGGCTGGGGCTGGGGCTGGGACATCGACTTTGCAAGAAGGAAAACCGATACCTTACCAGAATGTATTTCGCTGCCATAGATTTTGTATCCAACGCTAATGTTATTGCATGTGTTGCTCTCCCACTGGTACGGATAATGATAGGATATGATAATTCGAGGACAACTTGAATATTATACAAGGAAATAAAAATAGTCAAACCATGTCTATTTACATCCGGTTACAATAAACAAACTGCGAATCATGCACCCTTAAACTAGCATGTATAAGACTGAAATTGGACGTGTGTGTGAATTAGTGTCACGTGGTCTGATACGGTAAAGCATTAGATCAGGCAAATAAGAGACACTTAAAAAAGATTATTACATACGCAGGTGGTCCTTGACCTGTGCATGATGAATCAAAGTTCTGAGCACCGCTTGGAATCTGGAATCATACAACATTATCATGCGGTTGTAAAGAAATAATATATACACCTAATAGAAAATACGTCGGGTTCAAAAAAAAGGTTATATCATCAAAGCTAAGACCGAAGGGGAGCATGGGAAGACAAACAATAATGCTAATTTCATGCGTATTGCAGTTTTCCCTTCCTGTGCGCATTTTATGTATCATAGCTTTGGCATGTTGTTAATCTAAGTCGACCGACTTTGCTCTACTGTGCATTCTTACATGTCTATATGCAAATATAATACACATTTCGAAGTACCCAAAATCTTTTTGGGTCTTAGCTTCGATATATGACCTTCTCGGACCCGACTACGTTTTTTCAATTAGGTGTATATGCATAATAACAGCAGGTACCATTTTTTTATTTGTTAGACTAGGCTGGTTATTTTGGCAGCTCTCGATTATCGCTGATTTGGGCCTGCCTTCACTCACACTCACTACCGCTACATTTACTATTTTATGCACACAACGCTCGACTCACAAGTTGATTGACTAACATTGAGGTCGACATGGTGCTTGGTTCTTTTTTATAGTTTAGCTGTGGTCACTTACCTCATAGAACGCAGTGTATGGACTATCAGAGAGCACATCAATTCTGAACGTTCCTGTCATAGATAAGGACACAAAAAAAAA